TCCTCGTCCTCCTCTTCCTCCCCCTCCTTCTCCTCCTCCTCGTCTTCCCCTCCACCTCTCGTTTTTTGTTATCCTCCTCCTCCGCTTCCTCCTCTTCCTCATCCTCCTCATCCTCCTCTTCGCCTTTCTCATCCTCCTCCTCCTCCTCCTCCTCCTCCTCCTCCTCCTCCTCCTCCTCCTCCTCCTCCTCCTCCTCCTCCTCCTCTTCCTCCTCCTCCTCCTCCTCCTCGCCTCTCCTCCTCCCTCTTCCCCCCCCTCTTCCTCCTCCTAGCCCCTCCTACCCCCCTTCCTGTCCCTTCCTGTCCTTCTCCTCCTCCTCCTCCTCCACCCCCCTCTTCCCCCATCTCCTCCTTCCTGTCCTTGTCCACCCATCCCCTCCCACCCTCCCACCCCATGCCCCCCCCCCCCGAGCCTGCCACGGGCAGGAGAGAAGAACCCGGGCCGCCTCGCCGGCAGCCCGCGGCGCCCCCGGCCACAGCGGCCGCCGCCACCGCGGCCGCGGCAGCGACGGGGGCGCGCGCCTCTCTCGGGGCGGCGGCGGCGGCGAGGAGAGGAGAGGCGGAGGAGCGCGGAGGGGAGGGACCGAGGAGCGAGGAGCGAGGAGAGGAGGGGCGAGGAGAAGAGGGAGCGAGGAGCGAGGAGTCGTTTTTTTCCCGCAGCGCACACGTTCGATGTCAGATCTGTGTCAGCGAGGCCAGGCGCCAGGCCGCGCACCTGCCAGACCTGCGAGTGGGAAAACACGAGAGGCGGGACGGCAGCGGCGGGGACGGCGAGGGCACTCGGTCGACCATGTTCGGGACTCCGTGACGCGTGAGCGACAGGCGAGAGGAGAACGCCCACAGAAGTGGCAGGCTGTCAGCCAGTCCCTTCGCTTGCAAAGCTTGGGGAGCGGAAACACTCCGATGGAACGCCAGGCCTTGCCACCTAGCGTGCCCCCCTCACTGCGCTCTGCCCTCCCTCTTCTGAGGAGGGTCGACACTGTTGGGCAGAAAATAGTCTGGAATCGGCGATACATAACCGATGGGCAGCGAGACCGCACGTTCCTTCTCACGCGGGGTGGGGGGGCCGAGGCCCCGATCGGCGATGACTGGGCGATCCGAGACTCCAGCCCCTGAACCTATCCCACATCTGTCGTTGCTCACCTTCCTCCCCCTCCACCCGTCCCCACCATCCCGTCGCCCGTGGCCCGCCACTTTCGACGACACCTGCGACCTGCCCCCGGCGCTGCGGAGCGAGGCTCCGCGGGTGAGGCGGGCTGGACGGGAGCATGGCTTGCGGACGCCCTCAGCAGGGGCCCCTCCACCTGGAGGTGGACCCCCTGGCGGAGGCGCATCGGGCTGGGCCCTTTCCCCAGAATGCCGACCGCTCCCGAGGCTGCCTCCCGCAGCCACCACCTGCTCAGGCTCGGACCGCCGCACCTCAGGGGCGCAGGGCCAGCGCTTCCCGCTCGGTCACACACGAATCCGAGCTTCAATAGACTACCACTTGGGGGCCTCAGTTCGCCTAGCGTCTCGCCAGCGGTGAGGCGGCAGCTTGATGCCCAAATTACGGTGGATCCACGTGGGATTTACGTCGGGTTCCTGTCGGAGCGCGTCGGATCTACGGAGGACGCACGTCGGACTTGCGACGGAATTGCGTCGGAGCATCGCCACGCGAACATCGACACATCTCCCACGGAGCGGGCGCGTGGACCAGATGATACCATGCTCGCGCGCCACGCGGGGCCTCCAGGATCTTGGTCACTGCCCATCCCTTGCCTTGGGGGGAGCAGGAGGTACAAATAAGTTACCGCTGCTCCCTGGCGTCTCTGGAAAGGCCATGGGTCCAATCCCACCCAATGGGCTCCCTACATTGAAGGCCCTCTAAAACCTGAGGCGCGACATGAATGCTCGGCGCGCCTCTGCACCTGCGCCAAAGAGTCGGCGCGTTCGCTCCACGAATTGCTTACGTGAGACCTCACGCGCAGGACCCGAACATCAGCGAATTGCTGTGCGCACGGGCGCGCGCCATCGGCCGCCCCGGCAAGGGCCCACCCCCCGCCCCCCCCTTGACGGACACCCTCCGGCACCGTGCTTTCAGTCCGCGGCCCTGGAGCTCCCAACCCGCTGTCCAGGGCTCGGACTGTGCTCGGGCTGTGGCTCGGGCTCGGGCTCGAGCTCGAGCTCGGCATCGCGCTCGCGCGCCGGCTTGAGCTCGGCTTGGGCTCGCGCTCCAGCTCGGGCTCGGTCTCGTGATAGGCTCGAGCTCGCGCTGGGGCTTGGGCTCAGGCTCTGGCTCTGACTCTGGCTCGAGCTCGCTCGGTCGCGGGCTCGAGCCCATCATCGGGATCGCGGCTGAGCCTCGGGCCCGGGCTCGGAGCTGGGCCAATTTTGCATGGTCCGGTGGCCACATGTCGGGCCTCAAAGGCCGAAATCTAAGAAAAAACTACAGTTGAAGAAATCGCGTATCGTCGGAGAGCCCAGGACGAGGAAAGCGACATGTCCCTCTCCCCAGTGCCCCC